TGAAATACAAAAATCGCGGTTTTGTTTTTAAATAAATAAATAAATTTTTTTGGACATGAGTTTCGATAAGCGATTGATTAGTATTAATAAAATATAGTTATCGGTAAACATAATAATTATAATAATAATAATATATAACACAACAACTGATACTATAAATACAAGTACACTATTAATGCGATAAAATATAGTGAACTCTCGATACTGTGAACATCTCTTAGCCATAATACACACATAGCTATTAACAGAATATTCTATAATACAGACTCTTATACAGAATATTCTGTAATATATACTCTCATACGGAATATTCTATAATACATACTCTCATACAGAATATTCTATAATACAAAGTCTAATACAGAATATTCTGTTGTCTTTAGCGTATAGATAGCTCACAATATTGGGGTTACACTATATATCCATAGGCCGGGGTATCAGATATATGGCGACCAAAAGTATCGTTCCTCAGCGCCTACACCCTCGTCGCCATCGATGGGCACCGGCTGTTCGTTGATCAGTATTTTCCAGAATAGTTTCGGTGGCTTAGGGTGGGAGCCCTTGACGGGCGCGCCCACCACTTGCCAGAACAGTTTGGCGATCCTATGGGGCTGTAATATGGAGGCGCTCGTGGTGGTGGTGCTCGAGGCGGCCGGTATCGTATTGGTACAGTTGCCGGACAGTAGGCTTAGTTTGTGGGGCTGGGAGTTGTCGAGTTTTGTGGCAAAGCCGCAGTATGTGGAACTGTAGGTTAAAATTAACATGATTTATTTTTTATATTTTTATATTACTTATTAATTATAAACATTTATTTATGTTAAAGAATATTCTATGAAATTTAAATTTAGTTTTATAGTATTCTTATATTATAATTATAATTTTAATATACTGTATGCGCTATATGAATTCAAAACTAATGATCAAGCGAAATTATTATACATATTATTAAATACCAAGTATCATATTTTTAAAATAAAGTTGCTAGATACTTACATATCTCCATCGCTATTAATTAGCTCAATCTTATCGACATTCCAGTGCTCTTTACCGCTGTATATCCAGCCCTTGTATTTGGTGTACGTCAGCACCACATTAGTAACGTTCCTTATGATAGGGTGGGCCACCACTAAGCCCTAGTCATTAATTAATCAAGCATACATGTTCATAAAAAATTAAATAAGTTCATCATGGCATTTATATTGGATATTGACCCTAAAGGATATGTCACCACTTTATACCTCCCAGCCCTTTGATAGATTAGTACATAAGTTAGTCCAAAAAGTATAGATACTCTCGATATCATACCCCGGAGCTAACGGGTAGTTGAGTAACACTTTTGATTAAATAACAGTTATGTCACAAAAGTGCTAGTCATTAGCACTTATAAA